CCCCGCTTTTTTTCTTCTTTATTTTCCTTCTTCTTTTTTTCCTTACACAGACACTGAGATCTTTTTCATCTTCCTGCGACCTTGCTGCTTCGTGGCAGGAAAGGTGAGCACAAAGCCAGGCACTGTGCAGGCAGCAATGGGTTGCCCCCCACCGTTCCCCCACTGCTCTGCATCCTCTCCCTGCTCTGAGCTCCTATTGCACACAGGCACATGCCTGCAGGGAGCAATGTTCTTGTCTACAGAATACACACGTGCATGCTCGTGCATCGCAGCCACACAGCAAAAGCAGCAATTCTAGCAGCAAACCCAGTCATGTTCGTTTTTTGTTTGTTTGTTTGTTTGTTTCTTGAAAAGCTCCCTGAAAAATGCAGACTTCAGTGAAACAACACCTGTGTGCAAACCAGGGAAAGAAAACACCATCTCAGTGAACAAGAACATCAGGCTAAAAGCAGCACCAGGCTTGGCTGTCTTTATGAGACACCACTGCACTCTGGCTCTGTTTGAGCTGATGCTGTTTGAATGTGGCTGCTTGAAAAGCTTCATCTTCAGAAAGCTGAAGGCATTGTGCCAGAGATCCCGCGCATCAGGCTTCAAACCCAAGCTGTCAAGATTGGGAAATTTACGGTGCTCAGCTGCACCGAGGGACAGCTGGGTGCAACACCAATCTAATCCAGATTATAAAGCTCCTGGGGTTTGCTCAGAGGGAATTTTGATGCGTGCAGTCACAGCATAGCACCCCTGCCGCGATTCTTTTCTGGGAGCGTGAGCATCCGTGGTCTTTCCCCATCTCACATGTGCAGATGTGTGCTCTTTTCATCATTTCCTCCTTGCTTCTCATGGGAACATGCAGATTCAAGCATAAAATCTGTACAAACAAATGCTTTTTACATGTTATACTGTGTGGCTGTGTTGTATACACTTATGCTGTAATTGAATCACTTCCTTGCAGCTCTCTTCCTTGTGTGAGCATCCTACTCTCCTGGTCAGTGCATATGTGCAATAAACATTTCATGCCATCCAGCTGTGCCCAGATAACCACATACAACTCATACTTTCATGTACGTTTTTAATCACAGAGGCACTGAGTGCTCTGCAATAAATTAATACTAAAGACTGTGTGTTTACAGCCACCCTTCCTGTAGTCTATACAGTGTTGAGTATAAATAGACATTCTGTCTTCCTTACACGGGCACACAAGCACACACTTACATTCCTTTCTCCAGAATCATAGAATCTTTAAGACTGGAAAAGACCACTAAGGTCATCCAGTCTGACCACCAGCCCACTCTCCAAACCCCTCAGTGCCACATCTACACGGTTCTTGAATACTTCCAGGGACAGTAAGTTCACCACCTCCCTGGGCAGCCTGTGCCAGCACCTCGCCACTCTTTCAGAGAAGAAATGTTTCCTAATATTCAACCTAAACCTCCTCTGCTGCAATTTGAGGCCATTCCCTCTCATCCTATCGCTGTTATCTGAGAGGAGAGACCAATCCCCACCACACCACAGCCTCCATTCAGGCAGCTGTAGAGTGATAAGGTCTGCTCCCCAAACCTCCTCTTCTCCAGACTGAACAATTCCAGCTCCCTCAGCTACTCCCCGTAAGAATTGTGTTTCAGGCCTCTCACAGCTCCATTGGCCCTTCTCTGGACATACTCCAGATCTTCAGCATCTTTCTTGTAGAGAGAGCCCCAGAGGACACACTGAGCTGTATAGGCAGTGGCTGGGGTTCCTTCTCAGGTAGGTGCAGCATCTCTGCCATCATTGCTGCAATGACAAAAAACTCAACGATCTCTCTCACAAACAGCCTCCTCTTCCAGCCCAACCGGCTGCATCCAACCTGCCTGGGCCTGCTGCATGTGTTGGCCCTGGGAACTGTGCTACTGCCTGCTTGGGGCGGGATGCGCATGTGGCAGCTGGCAAACAGGATACAGCAATGTGATGCAATGTGGGCACTTGGGTGACTGGAAGAGATGTTGGGGAACTGGCAAAGATTTGTGGCTTTTGGGAGGGCAGGGCTCATGGCAGGGGGACCCTGTCAGTGGAGGTGGGGACAATCACCCAGGCTGTGACAGTGGGGAAGGGGAGGTGGTGGGAATTTCTGCAATCCTTCCTGCCCTACACCAAGCACTGGAAACCTTGCTGCTGCTTGGTTTGCTAAGGCCAGGAAGGATATGGCCTCACTGTAGCTTTTGCAAGTGGTGAGGAGCCTGAGCTGAGCTGAGCTGCACGTGGGGACGGTCCCTGCCCTGGAGAAAGGGCATTAGCTCATGCCAGCTTTCAGCTGCTTTCCCATCTGTGTTCTGCTTTTCAATAGGGGCTTCCTGCTATTCAGTGTGAGTCTGCACAGGATGGAGCCCATGGAGAGGTGCTGGGGCAGCACTGAGAGTATGTGTTTGTTCTATGGTATTAGCGTGTGCTGCAATAATGGTTTCTGTCTTCGTACCTCGCAAGCTATCCTGGAGTGGTGGACAGCAACGAGAGCGGCACCAAGCGCCTCTATTCCACTCCTTTATCTGCACTGATCCCCAGCTGCACTCCTGTTTTGCTGGGAGCCCTGCTGAGTCAGGATAAATGGGTGCTGATAGAGCTGAAAGGGTTCCTGTTTCTGGAACACTGATGTGATGTAGGAGCTCTGTTTTTGGGTGTTTCTTTGACCTTGCTGGGGGAAGAAAGGCCAGGCCCTGTGGTGCCCCTGGGTTTAGAGCCCTAAACCAAACACGTACTATTCACTTTTTTTTTTTTTGCCTTTTTTATTTAATCTTTTCTGCTAAGATGAGAAACAAGGCAGAAAGTGATGGCCAGCAGCTGTACCTCCTATGCCACCAGGTCTCCTTAGCAGCCCACCTCCTTGGTACAGTAGTGCTGGTGCTCCCATCACTTTCTTCCCTCTTCTCATCTCTTGTGGTGTGTGTGACAGAGTTGCATCTAAAGGAGATGAAGTCTGTGCGAGTTGCTTTATTTCACAGCAAGCTCTTTTCTCTGCTCAGCTAGGAGGCAGCAGCTGGTGCTGGCATGGTGGGAGCCCCTCCAGCTCTGCTGCTTCATTTGCTCCATGTAAGACATTCCCAGCCAGACCAAAGACTGGAGCCAAATGTGTCTTGGGTGCAGTAGAGCAATGGCTTCAGGTCCCTGGTGGCTTGCTGACCTAGAGACCTCTGGGCATAAACCGAGCACAGTGTTAGTGGAAAATTGGTGCAGGCACCAGAAGGTTGATAGGAAACACGTGAGCATGGATGGAGCCAACTGTTCTACACGGGAAGGCAAGTGGTTGGCCCAGAGGATGTGGAAGAGAGTGGCAAGCCAGAGCTGGAGTGCACTGCTTGCTCTGATGGCCAGGAAGATCAGCAGCTAGGGCTGGATGTGGGTGAATGCATGCCATGTGTTTAGGAGTGACCTATGTGCTCTAGATGTCAGCTCTTGTGAAAAGTGTTGGAAATCTCCTGGCCCAGGGAAGCTGACTGTGTGGTGTATTTCTTTACACAAGCCTGCTGTCACCTGGGGTTTTGCCTTCACAGGGAAAGGCACAAATCCAGTAAAGGGGGCCTTTAACTCAATCTGATGTGCAGTTCTTCCCTTTGCTTCCGAGCTGGCTCTGTGCCACAGAGAAATGTCCAGGCTGCCCAAGCAGAGAAAATCTCTTCTGTTCATCCCTTCATATCCTCAGCAGGTGATTCAGGTTGCAAAGGTCATTTCAAACATTATGTGTGTGCTGAGGTCTGGGCTGGCTGTGGCTGTGGGGACTGAAATATGTTGTGGAGCATGGGGACTTGCTGGTGCCTGTGGGAAGGCCACAGTTCTTTAGTTTCTTCTTAAAATCAGCTGGCCTCTGCTTCAAGGGGTAATCTAAACTTGTATACTGACAGCCCTCCCTCGTTCTGCTACTGCAGCTTTGAGACTCAAAGCAAAAAGCGAGGCAGCATCCTCTTTGTAAAGTGAGCTGAAATGGTCCATTTTTTCCTTAGAAGTTTCTGGGTGACCAGTTGTGTTAACATGGCTGCAGCTGTGTCTCTGCAGGGATGTTGTTTTCTAGGCAGAAACCAAGAACAATTCCCTCAAAGATTCACTGAGGATAAAAGTGATTATGCTGGAAGGAGCAGCTTTTCTTGCTTTGGCTCCGGCCTCTTCCTTCCAAACTGGAGAATCACAGGACCACAGTTTCATTAAGGCGGGAAGGGGCCCTTTGAGGGTAATCTAGTCCAAACCTCAAGGAGCCCCCAAACAAAGCAGAAGGATGATGAAGCATCATTGTGTTCCTGAGGAGACAAACTTTGGAAAGCAGTCTTGGCTCACTGGGATTCAGCGTCTCCAGCTCTGAGTGGGGCTGGAATTTCAAACCAGTTCTGGACCCCTTCCAGACTCATAGGTGCTCTACAAAGAAGTGGTTCTGGTTTGAGTGTGACCCTTCTCTTTGCCATGGATAAACACTGCTGATTCCCTGTTGTACCCCTGATAGGAGGTGTATCCCTTCATGCAGAAAGGCAACATGTCTGGCGCTCCTTTTCTGGATGTCTGAGCATGTGCTCCTGGGGGCCCAAACCCTCCCCCAGACCTCCCAGGTTTGCATGAGTTTGCAACTGTGCTTCCTGCTACTGGTCGGTCTGGGCGTACGAGGAGAACAAATGTTGGATGCTATTTAGTGCTTCAGTCAGGTCATGCCGCAGCCAGGAAGTGTGATGGTTGGTAATGGAGAACACATGGGCTCGCTTGCAAACACCCTTGCTTGCTCTACTCAGGCTTCCCTGCCTGTAAAATGGAAATAATAACTTGGAGCTTAAACGATGAGCTGTGGGTCTTTGCTAACAAAGATTTGTTGGTGCCTGCATGGAGGCCATGGCCTTTGGGATTTTCTCATGTAATCTGTTTCTCACTGACCTTCATCTGGAGGGGGAGGCAGGAACGCATTTTAGTCAGAGGATGTTTAGGCACTAGAGAAGCTGTAGATGCCCCATCTCCAGAGGCATTCAAGGCCAGGTTGGATGGGGCCCTGGGCACCCTAAGCTGGTGGGAGGCAGCCCTGCCCATAGCAGGTGGTTGGGGCTGGGTGGGCTTGAGGTCCCTTCCAAACCAATCCATTCTATGGCAATTGTGATTTTAATGGCAGGAGACAGCTGATCAGCCTCCTGCCCTTTTACCCCATGGGAAGGGAGTAAGGGATGGCCTTGATGGTCAGGAGGGGGGAGTGGGCAATTGGTGCCCACCCCTCACGTGGTCCCACTGCCTCACCATGGGGGTGTGGTGGCCACCTATATGATGGTCACCTTACAGCTCCTTTGTTGACTGTACCTGATAAAAGATCAGTCCCATCTGGGGGTGTTGGTTTCACTATCCCTGTAGCTGTTTGTGTGTTTCTCATCACTGGTGCAGAAAGCCAGCACCTCCCACACAGCTGTCCTTGCACGCGTGTGCACTATATCAAGCATCAGCTGACTCCAAGAGTAGCAGCACTGAAAGAAGTTCCCACAAATATGAACATTTCCCAAGATAGCAAAGTAAAGAATCAGGGGGCTATTTCATTATTTTTTCCTCCTCCATCTTCTCTCTCCCTCTCTCTTCTTTTTATTTTTCCTTAACCAAAGCTCTTTATTCTGCCTTCAGGGAAACCATTACTTATCTTTATCTTAGAGCTGCGTAGTTTTTGTTTTGTTTTTGTTTTAAATCATTTTCCTTTTCTATGCTGATCTTTTTAGGGCAGAGGGAATGAGGAGTCTTTAGAGAAGATATATAAGGCTCCCAACTCCTCCCCTTTGTCCTTTTCCTCCAGGGCACTTTGTCCTCACTCCTCCATCCCTCATATTGGCGTTGGCTTCTGGGGGAAAGGAGGCCAGCTCTGGCCTGTCTCCTAACTGACAAGCTCTGCTCCTCCCTGCATTGTTTCATATTTTCTTGGCCTCTTTTCTCCTGCTGAGCCCAGTGCAGGAATGAGCTCATGGTATTTCAAGAGTGGAAGACTGTGCTCTGTAGCACAGAGGATCCTCCTCAGTCCCCTGGGGTTGTGTGATGTCCTTCTGGCACTCAAGGCTGCCTGAGAAGCAGGCTGGCTGGGCTGCACAGCCAAACAATGATGTTTGATCACGGTGAGACCCAGACCAGTGTTTCAGTGTTCTGAAACCCTGTAAGATTGAGCTGCTTCTGGAAATGCTAAACAAAGAGTTCTTGAAAAGAAGTTATCCCTAAAACACCTACTCCCATCATGCGAACAGGGAAACCAAAAAGCTGGGAGATCTCCCAGGGCTGCAGTACCAAAAATACTGTCCCTTGCAGCCCACCATGGGGCTAGGATGTTGCTGGCATGACGACTAGTCCAAGGCCTCATCACGGCAGCCCTGAGCAATAGCTGGTGGAAACCTGTCAAAGCTGAGCAGAGCGACTCACCAGTAAATGAAGTGGTGTTTTTCCAGGAAAATTTTTACTCAGCAGAAACTACGTGGCTGCATCTGATATGGGCTCCATAAGTGGCCATTAGCTTGTTGTGGATGAGAGCAACATAATTGAATTTAAGGAAAAGGTTTAAGAGGAAATAAACTTTTCCTTTTGCATAGAGTTTCCTGCATGCTTTTTTTTTTTTTCTTTCCGGCTGATAACTGCAAATGTCAATAGGTTGCAGTTAATATGTGGAGATAAAAATAAGAACAAAGAGAGAGAAAATGAGAAGAAGAACTAGGGATGTCCATCTTTACTAGAGCTGGGCGTATGTAGCAATAAACGTTCACAAAATGTGCTTGTGAATAAAACATGCAGACTGTCTTCCTCAGTGATTGTGACCCATTTTATTTCTAAACACTCAGTTGAAAAAATGTTCTGCCCACAAAGATGCTCACGAAAGCAAGCTATCTCTTGGAGTAATGTGAATAAATATAATTGAACGCTCACACTGGCGTTATTCTCAAAGCTATTTTGAAGAGCCCTATCAGTTGCATGATAGGCTCGTGAAACAATTTGGAGTGATTGCAAATAACTTGCAGCTAGGAGAGGACATTTTTCCTGCGTGTGAAGCATGGCCTCTGGCTGGAAGTGATGCAGTATGACTTACGTGACCACTGGCATACAGTGAAGGGGGGCCGAGGGGTGGGATGTTTTCAGCAACGGGGTCCCAATGAAGCCGTATGCTAAAATGCCTCCACACCAGCTACTTGTCAGAGCCATCCGAGGGATAGTCCAGGTTGCAAGTAGACAGGCTGCTCCCTGGTAACTCGGGGACAGATAACAGGGCTGTGACTGTCCAAGGATTTATCTGCAGTGAGCAACCTGATCAGCCTTAATCATATGTGACAGCAATGTGAAGTGCAAAGTTTTGGCCAATCAGTTTGAATTAATCGCCCCGTTCCTCCGTCAGTGCCACTGAACACAGGGTCAGGACAAGCTGGTGACTTCTCCTCACTCGGCTCACAGCCACGAGGCACACCCTGCCTGTGCATATCCCCACGATCTCCTCCCTCAGCCTGCCTCGTTCATGCTACCAAGGGCAGGGATGGAAGCGAGCTGTTTGTTCACGCAGTACCTGTTCACCTCTGGCTATTGCAAAGTCATCCCTAGTGGATCTTTTACCCTTTTTTCCTCATGTAGCAGTGAGTTGCATTTCATCCGCCCCAAATGCCAGGGCTTTCCCTGTGTCTCCCGGATGGCTATTGCACATTAAGCTATAATTGCACCGTCAGGGAGTTTTCCTTTCTGATGCTCTGCCAAAATGTTTCCTTTAAAAAAATTATATCTATCAAGGTTAGCTTGGGCAGGAAATAATCCAGACAAATGCACGCTACCTGATCTTCAGGCCAATTAATCTGAAACAGATACTTGGTGAGTGGGTGATAGCAAAAATGCTGACATGGGGTCTGTGAGGAGCAGATGAAAATTTGGATGCACTGTGAACTTGCAATTCAGATGCTGGCAGTAGGGAGGACAAGAGAGTGCTGTGCCAGCATGAGCAGGAGGGAATGCTTCTGTATGTAGCATGGAGACAGCTACACCTACACTTACCTGTGCTCCTCAGGCATCTGTAGCAAAAAATACTAAGTCAGGCTTGAAGAAGTGATTGAGCACCTGGTGGGAAGGCAGGGCCAACCTAAGGGAGCTCAGGTGCAAGCAATGCACCCATGTGACCACAAGGGGTGGTGCCAGAACCAACCTCTTCCCAGACCTTCTATGATTCTATGACCTCATTTAAGAGTTGGTAGTAGAGGTAAGGGGTATCTTGCTGGAAGTCCTTGCCCACCTGAGGCCTTCCAAGAGTAAGCACCTTTTTTTTCTTTCTTTCCCTTTATTTCTATGTCCTTGCCTGCTGCATTTGGGCTTATCCTCCCTTGCTGCAGCCTAGGACTTTGCCACTCTGCTATTATTACTGTGTTTTTCATCACATTATAACTTAACAGGCATTCCTGGCCAGCTGCAGGTTGTGGCTGGAGGTAGCAGCTTACAAAGCATTTGGAATAGGATAACTTATGGAAATAACTCATGGGTGGTGTGTGGAAGAGCCATCCAAGTTGCTTGGGTTCCCCTGTCCAGGAAAGAGTTTTCCATGAAGCTTAGTGCATGCTAAAGGGAGTCTTCATGCAAGGGACAGGTCTCGGTAAAGGCAGAGAGCATCTTTGGAAAACAAAGAACAAATGGCAAAACAAAATGGGGAGAAAACTTTTCTTTCATTTTCTTGATTCTGTTTATGAGGATTTTAGATTTTTGGCTTAGAAGGGAATGAGAAATTGCTCTGAATGCTTCACTTTGGAAATACTGAAGTGAAACCTCTTGGCTGTCTGAAGGGTTGGTTGGTTACCCTTCTTCATGTTTCTAATTTTTATACAAACAGCTGTGTGCTATGCTGAGCCCCTGAGGACCTCGGTACCATGAATCTATGTTGCGAAAGGCACTACCAGTCCCGTTCAGACTCAGAGTAAGGCAGTTACCAGCACAAAAAGGGGCACATGATGGAGGCATGACTCTTTCCAAGCAGTGCATCCAAGTCTGTGATAAGATGAGTAGTAGTCTGATGAACATTAACCAATGAAGGGAGAATGTGACTTGGAAATATTTTATAGTAGTGTCTAATAGCAAGAAGATTTACCATGAAATAATGAGTATCATTGCATTACAAATTGATTTGGGGAGGGAGGGGGGGAGGGAGGAGTCAATCATTCTCTCAGTGCTGTTTAGTTTGTAGTGGTTCCCTAGCTCAGGAAAGATGTGGAGCTGTTGGAGCAGATCTAGAGAAGGGTGATGAAAAAGAGAGTTGGAGCACCTTTCCTATGAAGAAAGGCTGAGTTTGGGCTTGTTCATCCTGGCGAAGGCTCTGGGGAGACCTCTTTGCAGCCTTCCAGTGCTCGAAGGGGGAACAGGAGAGCATTAGGAGACATAAAAGTCACATTAGACCATGTGACTTTTTATTTGTTCTAATAGTGATAGGACAAGGGGTGATGGCTTTAAATTAAAAGGGGAAAAATGTAGATCAGATTATGAAAGAAATTCTTTACTCAGAGTGCAGTGAAATACTGGCACAGCTGCCCAGAGAAGCTGTGGATGCCCCATCCCTGGAGGCACTCAAGACTGGGTTTGATGGGGCCTGGGCAGCCTGAGCTGGAGGGGAGCAGCCCTGCCCATGGCTAGGGGTTGGAACTGAGTGGGCTTTGAGATTCCTTCCAATCAGAGCCATTTTGTGGTTCTGTGATAGTGGAAATAATGCAGTATCTATAAGCCTTCACTCAAGAGCTCTTTTTTTTCTACCCAGAAAAAAAATAATCAAAGCAATAGGGAACTTTAAACAAAGAAGTTACCTTCAGAAAGTGGTAGTTTAGCATATTTTAATATAGATTTTAGTTCTACTAGCTGTACTGCTTAAAAATGAACAGGATGCAGAAGGAAAATCAGCAAGAGTCGTTGTGAATAGCCGCTCTTTTCTCAAGACGTTTAAAAAACCTGGAGCACAGTCCCTTTGTGGAACATACATCTGGAGTGATGGGAGCTGTGGTGAGGATCGTGAGCAGTACAAAAGGTAGCATCAAGTGTGTGAGTGATGCAGAGGGGGGGCTGTGAGCAGAGTTGGCAGTTGCTGAAAGTAAGTGGAACGAAGACAGAAATAGTGAGCAGGAAACCTGCCCTTTGTGTCCCTCATGCACCAAGGAAGGCAGGTTTAGCTGCTGCCTCTGCCCTTGGCTCTTTGTCCTAAGATGGAAAGCACCAGCTGTGCCAGGCAATCTTCCCTCTAGTCCCCTGCTCCCACCTGCTCAAGTTGTCCCTTCTGCAAGCTGTGCTTGACCTTCCAGCCTGGATCTCTCTGGAAAATCGACAGAAATTGGGTTTGGTCAATTGTTAGGAGGAAAGAAGGGATGTTCTTAGCAGCATTTTAGCTGAAAGCTTTGGGAATGAGAAGTAGAAATTAGGCGGGGTAACCTCTGCTATGAAGAGCTCTCTCAGCTTATGCCAGCAACAATGACTTTTTTTGACCACAGCATATTGCTTTAAAGCCATGTACCATGCGTGCTGGGTTCCTTTTTATGTGGCTAAGCTCTCAAAGTGAGCAGCTGAACAAGTCTGTGTAGTCTGCAGGAGCGGCTGATTTTTCCTGTGCAGTGACAAGCCTTTTTGAATGGATGGTGGGCTGTGCAAAGTGCACGGCAGAGCCATGCTCTGACCCAGCATGGCTTAGAGTGGCAGGAGACCATGCCCTGCAGCTTCGTGGGGCCTGTTAAAAGCAGAGACTTGCAGAGCAAAGTTTTCCTCTTGTTTCCCTTGAGAGGCAAGAATAAAGCATACCTTCCCTAGCTTGTGGACTAGAGGAATAACACACTGAATGGGTGCCTCCTTAGGGAGGTGAGGCAGGAATTCCAGCCCCATGGAGCACTGGTTGTGGCACACTGCTGAACTGAGGTGGCAGGCCCAGCACAGTGCTTCCTCATGCCCTGCAAAGCAGCATGTGTGGGCTGTGGCCCTCTGGGATCTGGGGGCGAAGGGGCTGCTAGGGGCCAAAGCTGGCAGCTTGTGAGCCTGCTGCTGGGGCTCAGTATTTATTAATGGCTCACAAAAGTTAGGGGAAGCAGTGAAGCTGCAAGGTTTGCAGATGGTGTGAAATTATTTAGGAAAGGGTGCCTGGTGGGACCTACCCATGGCAGGTGAGCAGGCAGGTGGAGCTCACTGTCGACAACCACGGTGCAGAAGGATGCCTCCGTGCCTTGCCAGGCTTGTGACCGGCTGTGTGGCGGCAGGGGGAGGATGGGTGTCACTGGACACAGCTCAGTGGAAACATCTGCTCAGTCTGCTGCAGCTGTCTCAAGAGGAAATAGAATGGCTGGCTGCCTGAAAAGTAGGATAAAAAAGCAAGGCTGACAATGCCACCTCTCTGCTGTGTAAGAAAAGCAGGTGAATTGCAGGCTGGGTTGCACTGTGCAAGTAACATGGGTGAAGAATGAGCAAAAACAGGCAGAGGAAATGATGGATGTAGAGGGGGCAGAGAACTCTGTCTTCTTCCAATTTCATAAGAAGGATTGTGGTGAGATGTTTGAAAAATAAGCATGTTAGTTTATAGAATCACAGAAAATCTTGAGCTGGGAGGAACCTCACAGCCCACCCAGCCCCAACCCCCTGCCATGGGCTGGGCTGCCCTCTAAGTGAAGAATTTCTTCCATACATCTAATCTAAGTTTTCCCCTTCTAGTTTAAAGCCATCACCCCTTGTTCTGTCACTACTCTCATTGATAAAGTATCTCTCACTGTCTTTCTTCAGGCCCCCTTCAAGTATTTATAGACTAATATAAGGTCTCCCTGAAGCCTTATCCTCTTAAATAAGTAAAAATCAAAAGGTATTTTTTGATCCTGATGGAAAAAAATCCTAGCAAGAGGGTGGATGCTTTTAAGCAGCCTAACATCAGCATGTGGGGTGAGATGGCTCAAAGCACTGAGATCTTGGGTGCCATGAGGACAGCCTAACTGTGGGTAGAACTCATGTTGAAGCCAGGAGTTGGTCCAGCTGGTACCAATGTGCAGCTCCTGAGGTTGCTTTCAGGGCTCCCTGGGTATTTTCCCTGAAGAAGCTGCTAGCAGTCATAACCCACTGTGCAGGAGCCATCAACACCATATCTGACTGACGATGACTGCAGTGGGAGGCAGAGGGTTGTGCCATCAAAGCAGCTGATAGAAGGAGGCAAAGAAAACTGGGGTTTACACTAAAGTGCCTGCTCACCTTTTCTTCTTTCACCTAGACATTGGAGGCTGAGGTTCAGTCATCTCCTGCAGCAGGGTGCTGGCATCTCTGCCCCATACAAAGGCTGGGCCTCACATAAATCATTCAAGCAAGGCAAACCTTTGCCTCTGATATGGTGAGGAAATGTGACCTAGTTAAGCCCAGCCGTTTTTGAGTGTGATGAAATGGAAGCGACTTGTGTATTGCTGAAATCTGACACCAGAAATAGGGCATTAGTTGTGCTGCCAGCCCAGCAGCCACCTAGTAGGGTGTCTGCAGGCACCCCGCTTAACCTCATCCCCAGTACCCCTGCCCCCCAGGTAGGTGATGTGTACCCCTCTCCCAAGCAGCACCATCCATGCTGTGCCATGCATTGTGTGGCTGCATGAAATCCAATTAAAGGGTGAAATGAATTTTGCAGTTGCTGCAAGGGGATGGGAAATGCCCATGCACAGAGGAGCAGCAAGGAGCCAGCTCTGGCCTCGTTTTAAGCATAGCCCGACTGAAAAGCTGCTGCTGCAGCTGCAAGGGAGCTATAAACCCACCATGCAATAATGTTACTGCTTTGATGGATGCTGTAAAGGCTTTGAATGCTTTTCTTTTTCTTCTTCTTTTTTTTTCCATTCTCTTTCTCTTCTTCCTTTTTTTTTTTTTTTTCCTTCCCACTGTGGCCATGTACCTTGCAGCCTCCTTTGTTATAAAACACCAGCTCCATTTCTAACCTAAATCCTGCCCCCTCCCCTCTCCCTATTTCTTTTAATGGTCACAATACATTCATTTGCTGCCCCTTTCCTGGAGGGAAAGAGAAATACTCCAGCGTTTCAGGAAACAAAGCCTTTCTCCTCTCTTCTTGCTCAGGGAGCACAGCACAGGTTTATGTCTCTCCAGCACAGCGGTGACCAGCAAGGAGCTCCAGCTGGGCTGTAAAGTGCCTGATGGAGCATTTCTCCTGGGGAAGAACTGCCCTTGCAGGGACTGCAGGCTCCTTGAGTCTCTGAAAGGGAAAAAAAGAAACTTTTTGGTGCTGAAAGTCATTGGTCTTGGCATTTTTCTCCCTCAAAAAGAGTTTCACTTCTGACAGTGTTACCCTTGGGGCAGTCCATCTGAAGGCAATACTAACACTTGATTCTTCAAGTGATTGGAGGGTTGCACGCACCACAGTGATGTGGCCTCAATTTGCTGTTTTGAGAATGCTGACTGATTGGCTGATGCCATAGGTCCCCTCCCAAAAGAAGTCTCCTTGTACTCCCAGCCTTCTCAGTCCATTCCCTGCCTCCCTTCTCCTGGCATGCACTCAGGCCGTGGAGCTTGCTGCTGCCAGGTATGACAGAGGCCAGCAGTATTGAGGGGTTGAGCAGCATTTAGGTTCAGAGAAGAGGTCCCTGAAGACTGTGAAAGCTGCAAGTGCCTTGGGTTGCCAGGAGCTGGAAGAATCCTCAGGGGAAGGTCACACGACACTCATCCTGGCTTTTCTGCACTTTTTCCTTAAATGTCTTTTCTGAGCCACTGCTAGCTACAGGATGCCCACCTGGTAAAGGGCAGTCATTCTCATGTTCTACTATCTGGTGGTTTTAGGATTTTGCTGACCCTCCTCCTTCTGTCTCTCTGGATGTTTCCCTGCAAGGATGACCCCTTCTCTTTTTCTCTCTGCATTGCTCTTGCCTTATATGATTTCTTGCGGCATTCAGCCTTTGCTTGGCTTCGGCTGTGGGTGACTCATTCCCCATGCCTTGCCTTGTTCCCACCTCCTAGCTGTCTCTTGGACATCTGCTCTGTGCTGCCTAATTCAAATGTAGCCTGCCTGAAAATGAAGCCCTGCTCTGTCCCTCTTTACAGCAAAAACCATCCTTCCCTGGAGAGCTGGGGCCTCTCCAAGGGCACAGCAGGCTTCCCGTTGAACAGCATCAACAACGAGGCATTGGTTTGGTCCTCTCATCTCCATCCTACTATTGTTCCCAACCTAAGACGTAGCTGGTCAGTGAAGTTGTAAAACCTAACAAAAGTGGAAGGCTGAGTTTCTGGCCAGTATCATCTGACCAGACCAAACTTGATGAATGTGTTTTCTTTTTTCCCCTCCTCTACTTAAATGAATTCAGGCAACCAATGTTTCTTTCTTGGTGAGAGATTTCTGAGGTTCTGACTCCATGGAAAGTTTGACTGGCTTGGGTGTGCAGCCAAGTTCTGAGGACAGCATTTGTTGAGGGTTTGCTCGGTGCCTGAACTATAAAACTGAAATAAACATATGTTCAGTAGCTGTGCTCAAAGTAAGGGCTTTGTGCATGCGCTATCCAAACATGACTCTGCTGTTGCAAACCCAAGAAAACCAGTCACATTAAATACAAAGATATGCACTTAAACACTCATGCAGATCTACAGTTGAATGACATCTGTACCATGAAGGAACAAAATTCAGGCACATTTCTGAATGAAGATCTCCACAGCTTCTCAAGCCCCAGAATAGTAAGTCCTTTTATGGGTGCTTTTCACCTTGAAGCATCTCACTTTGTACATGTGTAAATGAAGGAAGTGGAGCGGCTCTGGGGTGGGATGTTACAGGCATCCTACATGATCTACAGCACCCTTGGGTGACTCCTATCAGCGCCCCTGGAATGTATACAAGGCCGTTAGTTCCCTCAGTCTTCCTCTCCATCCTCTTTCCCCTGCATTCCTCTGGATGTTTGTCATATCCTTCTATGCACTCCTTGCTTGCACTCCATCCCTTGTGCTTGGTGCACTCTCACTGCTCATCTTCCTTGGCAGTCCTTTGTAAAGCTTTCCTCCTGGAGCACTCCCCCTTCTTTCTCCTCCAGGCGCCTCTGTGCTTGAGCTTGTACCTTCCAGTTGAGTTTATGTGCCATGCCTGTTTCAGTTTGCAAGCTGCCTGGGATGGCAAAGACATTTTATCTGTAGTGACAAATTGCTGTATGAAGTTACAGTGCTACATGAAAAGAACAACCACCCTAACAGCGTAGCAGCCTGATGGCCGATGTGCTAGGGAGAAGAAGGTTAAAGAAGGTTATTGCTGATGTACTAAGGCCTGGAACCAAAGAAATATACTTAACATTTCCTTATCTTGTTCTTTGTATCTAGCTACTTTCTGAGATCACTTGTTGATTCCCAGTCTCCTATTACAGGCAGAGAAAGAACAAATTTCTGTGTAGTTTGGCCAGAACAGACCAATTTTAAGTCATCCAGCAAACTACCAAAGGGCTGAGATTCGCAGTTTCAGATCATAACGATTATGATTTATATAATCTCAAACACAGACTTTTAATGCCATATGCTTAATTTCACTCAGCCTGTACTATCTGATCCCCTGCTGTACGTGTTCACTTTATTTTTTGCTTCTGGTCTGGACTTTGAGTCTTCAGATGACTTTAAAACTTCATAGAGTACCTGCTGGATTGGTGTTCCTGTTCACTGTTCTCCTTGAGGCTTGCAATTCTCAATTTTCCATCCTTCTCTATGACTTTGTTCCAGGCTCCATCTCTAGTTAGGTAGCTCCTCAACACAGAGAATTGTCCATGATGTGCTGATGTTGCTCCTGGCATTGCAGGAATGAGGTCTGTGCATGCCACTGCAGTAGCAGGTGGATGAGGAGTGATCTCCCTCTATTGTGGGCAGGAGCAGAGCTTGTCACAATGCAGTGGACGACTTGGAGCCTTTAGCTTGTGTCACAGAAAGATCAGTGCAGTGGAAAGGCAATACAGGAGTGAAATGGTAAAAGGACAAACAGGAAAAGGATGCTTATCCACCTCTGAAGATCTAGGCTCATGAGGAAAAATTCCATAAGGGAGGGATCTCCAACCAGACATCCTTCTCCAATGGCAGTCAGCCCTTAAATGAGATCTAAGAGAGGTGCAGCCAGGCTCCACCCTGTTCCATCACACAGCTGAATTGCCTTCACCTGTGCTTCCAGGGCTGACCCAGTCCTTTCCCTATGTGATCAATCAGTGGTTCAGTCTGTGACTCAACAGTTCCCATACAGCCTGTTTCCCCAGAGATGCGATGTATAACCTGAGTGACATGGCATACTCAATAGAAACGGGCTTGGGACTGGGCTCCCCAATTTCCCCAATAAAATGGGCCAGAAAGTAGCCTGGAGACAGCATGAAGTCTTTGCTGTTGAGTTCTTAGGGTGAGTAATACCAGTCAAATAAGGTAGCTTTGTCAGCTCAAAGAACAACCTCTGTATGAAAACTTAGGTTGTTGAATGAGATAAGCGCATGGGGATGATGGAAAATAGGATGGAAAGGACCTTCTGTGTCATGTCATCCAGTCCCATGCTGTTTGAGGTAGGGATGGCATCTGTAGGGAACTGCACTCATTCTGAATTAAAACAAGTTGGGGTTTTCATTCCGATAAAACCTCCTGCTAGGCAATCCAAGAAATGTACTTCTTGGAGAGCCAGGACCTCTTTCTCATTTCCAGCTGAAATGTTTTCCTGGCGTGTTTATACTCGCTTGTGCCAGCACTGCCCCTTCACTCAAACAGATCTTCTCTCTTCTTGGCACTTCTGTCTGGGGTATTTATAAGCAACAAATATATCTCATCCCAGCCTGTATTTTGCTAATTTTGAGAAACCAAGTCCTTTTAGTCTCTTCTTGTAGAAGAAAGCTCTCTCCTCCCCTGGTCATCCTAAGAGAGAAAGGCAGGGGAAAAAAAAGCAATTTTAAATTAATTCATCTTCTACGTGGATGTAGAATGTTCTGTACTTCTGTGATGGTATTAAAATCTTCCAAGTTCTATTAGAAATCCTTCATCTGATGTGTCTTAGGCTCACATTTTTCTTTCTCACATCTGCATGATATTGCCAGCTTGCAGTCATTTGATCGGCTAGCGCACGCAGGTCTTTCTCCTCCTCTGTCACTTCCAACTGATGAGCTCCCAGCTGGTAGCAGAAATTCTCGTTATTACTCCCTCAGGGCACGACCTCGCATTTTGTACTATTAAATTTGATTCCATCTCTATTGCTTCTGTCCCTTTTTCGTAGGAAAACTGCTCTGATTAGTCACCGTATAATGCCTCAGAGACCTAAAGACATATTCACTATATTTTTATTTTTAGAAACCATTTGCTGTTTCAGTATTTTCATTCAGTGAATGATGCTGATGTCTCTCTGTATTACCACATCTTTCTAACAGGAACTCCGGGCTGATGTGGAGAAGGGCAGGGGAAAATTGCCTCCCGGATGAGGTATATGGCAAGAGCAGGTACATTTCCAAATTGTTTCAAGGAAATAATTGTTTAAGCTCTTTGTCACTCTGTTGCTTGGAGTGACCAGACACGGTGTCCAATCAACAGGAAAACAGCAAAGTGCAGGTTCAAAAATGTTCTGTTTTACCCAACTATTTATTCCAAAGTGATCCATCCTTGCTGTGTCTGAATTTACTGCATCTCGCTGCCGGAGCGTGCATCTCAGCTTCAGCACTGTCATGGTGATGGCTTCCAGCACTTCTGTATTTTAACCATCAAAACTATTTTATGATGTTCAAAGTACTTCAGAAACAACTGCCTTTATTGCTTAATTATTATGCTCGATTAACGCGGCAGTGGGCAGCTTATGAAGCTACATGATGGTGATGAGAATTCATTTATTTTGACCTCCATTCTCTCAGTTACAAAGAACTGCTTTACCCAGAGAAAGACTGATGCAGTGCAGAACCCTAAGATACCATAGGAACCTCTGAGGCTCCAAACTGTCCACTGGAGAGAACCCTGGACCAACAGGCAAAGAGACAGAGAGCTTGGTTTTGAGCACATGCTTTGTAGGGAGTACCTTTGAAGAGACCCATGCTGAAGAAGATTGCCACTGTGAGACAGGGCTGCAGGATTTTATTTCCCATGTCAGAATCACATGGTTTACACTGGTTAGGTGTTTCCCAGGGCTGGGAGCTCTTTACAGGACAGCTCCAAAAACATGGCACTTCCCTCTCAGAGGGGACCTCCGCAAAGCCCATCTCTACAAATGCATATTGAGGTTACTTGGGCTGCTTGTAAGCCAGACAAAGCCTTTGCATGTGGGAAGCTATATGACTGCCATGGTGTTAAAATCCAAGCTGGTTTCAATTTGTTCTCACTTGTGCAATTGGGATACATCTCAGAGGCATGTGACAACTCATCCTGGTGTTCTCCAGATAGACAAAATGTGGTGCCCAGGAAAGGAGTTTCCATGTTGCCCTCTGCATGTGAGCTGAGGGTGTCCTCTGTGTCAGGGTACAGTGGGAGGACCCTCACTCTGTGCCTTGCAATAACTCTATGGCATGCTGCCCTTACTCGAAGTGGTGAGGATGCACACTCTGTTTATTGTGGGTTTCTGGCAGCAAAGGCTGCATTTTCTGCCCTGTCCAGGCCTGCTAATGAGTTGCTTCTGACACCTGACAGGGCCTGCCTACCGAGATGTGGAAAGAAACAGAGGGAGAGGGAAAGCAAAGCATCATTTTGGGAGCAGGAGAACTTCTGAAACATTAATCTGGTGAATAACTCCCTGCCAGCTGAATTTCACTTAACCGCTGATCTGAATCGTGTCACAGATGGTATCGTCTTCCAAAGTGTTAGCAAAACACAGGGCTCAACCTGTGGCCATGCATTGCTATTTCTGATCCAGCACAACAACACGCCTGGAAAAGACAGAGCTTGTAATAACTGCAGCTCAGGAAAGAAAAACAACAACACAAGTTTGAAATTGGAATATCTGGTTTGCAGAAGGAGAATTGCCCTTTTTGCTCAATGCAGCAGTGAAGATGGGCTTGCAAGATAAAGAGCAGCACATGCTCTGATAGACTGTGAGATCTGTTGTGATGCTCTTTAATAAGTGTAAAACCCCATCCAGCATTTCTAGGTGTGAGGCAAAAGTGCTAGGTGTGGTAAGTAGGATTGGTCGTGACACAAGCAGAAAGAGGAGGAAGAGATGGCATGCCAGCTGGGAACCTCTGTCTGTGTGCTATTTCATGCCTGCAGGAAGAACTAAGGTTTGAAATGTTGTTTTAAATATTAAAACCAGGGCTACCTGTTGCAAGGTTTGATAAATGGTAGTGGTCTCAGACATGTGATCTCTGCTACTGGAAGCTACACCTGTATTATCTAACCCTGAGATCTTTTTGGTGTCTGAATTTAATTACATGTCCTAGCTGCATCCACTGTCACAGTGAGAAGTGACCAGCACTCCCCACCTGCCTACACACCTGTGCTGACTCGGTGAGAGCTGTGGTTGCTCCAGGTGGGCAACACCCTGCCTGGAGCCATGGCACACCATGCATTCCCCCAGCAGCTCTGCAGTGCAAGTACCTCCCCTGGGGAGCCTACACCTGGTGGCCCCATCTCAGCTGGTGTTTCACAGGCAGCCGAGACAGGATTTCCATCACCCTACTGTCCCAAGACAGCCTCCCAAGGATGCCCACACCTGTTGCCAGGCACTGCCCTGGCACCTGGCTCAGCCTCCTGCTCCAGAGGCACCTCTGAGAAGGTTTTAGAGAAGGCAGCTTTTGGACATCTTTCATTTGCATGCCCCAGTACCAAGATATTAAAAGAATAATATAAAGGGTTGCAAAAGCAATGCATCTACAAAATGAAGAATATCATGCACATCCTTCAGCCAGGCATTTGCAGGTACCTGCTGCTCCTATTCTGCAGCACCTGTCTTGAAATTCCAGGGTGCAGAACTCTGTGGTGATGGAGGTTGGTAAGAGCCCTGCTTTGACCCTTTGGGTATTCACCTGCTGGTCCCTTGTCAGCCCAGAGTGAGTATTCAGGCTACCTCATCCCATCTGAAGTGAGCTAGTGGTAAAAATGTGGGAGCTGCTGTAAGAACATCAGCATTACAGTTGTGCTACAGAAGGACCTAGGAGGGAGTTAATAGGGCCAGGGTAGCCAGATTTGAATAGCGTGTAGTAAAAAAAGGCTGAAGAATCTACTAGCCAGAGACAAGACCTCTCACAGAAGATGTCAGCCTGGCCAGTTAAAGTCCGGCAGCCTCATAAGGAGCTGAGTATAAACGCAACCTGCATTATAGATGCTGCTACTACCTATCATGTAATGAGATTTCATAAAGAAAAGCCATCTCAGTGGTTTCCAGAAGGATTATTTTAGCATGCAGCTGGGCACATGGGCTGATTAAACACAGATGCAATTTCAAACAACTGGAACAGCCTACCACAGAAGGAGATGGAGTGAAACCTTGCTGGCACAGAGCTTGCAGACAGGACGCTTCTCAGATCTCATTTTCCCATCAGGAAAGGTTTTGTATGATCTCAAGATAGTGTGGTTCCCACTGCCCTTCCTCAAAACACCACTTCCTGCTTGAGAAATGACATTGGATTTCAGTGGTGGGTGAAAAGAAGGGGACAGTGCAATGAAGATATACCAAAGGCAGGGAAAATTTTGACTTCTTCCTTTGTGAATATTTGGGATGCTGAGGCCAAGGCAAGGCTATGATTCCTTGCATCACCTAACACCCCAGAGCCACTGGCAGGCTCACAGCACAGACTAAATGGATGTTCTTGCTACTGGTGTTTTTATCATCAGCAGCCTTACTAACCAAGCAAACGATAGAAAAATGTATCATTCAGGGAACCATGTCCACCCTCTGTTGCTACACAATATGGCTTTAATTATCCTCAAAGGATCTAATGACAAATTATGGACTAGTCAGTGTCTTTTGAAGTCAATAAAAAGATTCCTGTCGACTTGAGTGGGCTTTGGCTGAGAACCATGAACTGCAGGAGGATGTTCGAACTGCTGTGATTTTCATACTGGCCTCTATGAAGGGGTGGTTTTGCTCACTGGAAAGCCACTGGTGCTGGAGCCAGCAGAACCGACTGCCCATAGCTTCCAAAATCAGGAGCATGGATTTATCAAACCCTTCATTCACCTTTGCTCCTGATCTGTAGAAGCATTGCATGCCCATCTGTAGCTCCCACTGTTTACCCTTGCACCATCCCACAATCTTAGCACTAGCTAAGAGTCTGGCCTCTTGTTTTATTTTTTCCCCCAACACTTGTTCTAGAATAAATGGCAGTCCATGCTAATTTCTAAAACTGGTGAAGCTATCAAATCAGATTCAATTAGGCTCTTTCCACCCCTTGCACATGCCTGAAAAAAAAAGCTTTGGTTGTTGGAGTTTAGCTGACGATGCTTTTGTGCAAGAAAGGAAAGGCTCCAGTGAGTTCTCTGTAACTGAAGCCATATGGGATTGAGACTTGTTGAACCAATAATGAAACATGCCTGTGTCACAGAGCAGTTTTGGTTCCAAGACATACAATGGACTGTTTGCAAAATCATGTTGCTGGTTAAAGCTACAATTTTAAAATCGCTGAATAGTTTAGGGGCTCTGCTGCTTAGGAGGATATGGTCTAGCTGGTTGCTTGGGAAAGTTTTTAAAAGGCCCAAATCAGCCTGAGGTTTCTCTGTTGACTTGTTTTCGTAATATATTTAACAACTGCATAGTGGTATATATTTGCCAGCCATTTAGGCAAGTTGCTTAAGACACATGAAGAGATAAGAAGAGTAAAAATGATTTTAACTTCCTAATTCTCCATCCACCTTCCCAACACACTCAGTGGCACTGAGAAGCAAGTGAATTGCTAATGCAGATTAAGTTGTCCTTCGAGGAGCTACTGCAATTAATCACCCAGTAACCCCTGAACAAAGAAGTATTTCCACGACACATCAGTGTTTCCAGATTTGGAAAGGGCTTGATAAGTACTTAACTGAACTCTCATAGTGAGGGAAAAAGAGTGTTGCTTCTGGAGGAGGGCCTGGAATAGATAAAGGGAAAATAATTTCCCTGTCCTGCATGCTGGGTAAGAAACCTGTCTGCTCACAAGTAGCTTTTATTTTTATTTGTTTGGTTTTTATCTAATTTCTTTTAGGGGTTTGGCAGTGAAGAAGGAGGTTGGAGGAAGTCAGAAGTGTTCCAGCCTCTTGAAGCTTTCACGTGCCTGGAAACCTCCTCACTTCCACCTAGCATCTTTCACCACTGCCCATAGCCACCTGAGGTTCATGTATGTTACAATATCAGGTACTCTGCTTCTTTTTTTTTTTAATTCTTAGTCTCAGTGTCACGTGTCTTTGTAATGCAAATGGAAAGCAGCATTTTGCAATCCTCAAAGAGCTTTGGTAATTCTTTTCAAAAACTTGAGCTTTTCTGAAGTTTCTTTCTTGGTAGCACTGGACTTAGGTTGCCCTGAGAATATTCACCTCAGAACCTTTTGGCCCCGAGTATGACACAATAAGTTCCTGCTCAGCAGGGTGGATAGAAGCATGCCTGCAGCACTGCTGTGCATCCAGAGCAAGAGGAGCCCCCTGGGGGCCTCAGTCCTGGCAGCTCCAGTGTCCTCCTGGGGGCCGGAGGAGCAGATGCTCCATTTATTCTGGGCTTTCCCTTTTTCCTCTCTGATTCTGTCTCAAGTAATTAAGGACTGAAAGGTTGCATTAAGTGCTGCCTGGGGAATCATATTTTACTGCAGACAGTGTTCCCCGTTATCGGTTATTGTATTATAATAGGACCTAAAAATCCAATATGATCCCTGCTCTGAGAGATTTAGTATCAAAATGCATTAACCATAGAGACAGGTAAGAGGATATCTTTGATTATGGTGCAATGTGGCACTGGAAATTTAGGTGACCTGAGCCAGCGTGCATTGGAAACAGGCAAGCACTGGTGGCAAATGGCTTAAATCATGGTTCAGCACCTCCAGCACAAAATCTGACTCACATACAAAGGCAATGGAAACACCACAAGGGACAAAACTGAGAAGGTCATTTTATAATTTGTTGCTAACCAAAATAGGTGAAGTCATCTGCAGTTGCATGGGAACCTCCTTATTACAGGGATACGTTTCAACTTGTGGAAAAAAAAAAAAACAAAACAAAACAAAAAACCAACAAAGCAAACCCACAAAACCAAAACAACAACAACAAAAAAGAAGAGTAAAAACAAGAGAGTTCAACGTCTCATAATAAGCTCTCTCTGCTGTGGCAGCAGCTGCAGTTTCTCCTCTCAGATTTCTCTTCTGTTATTACTCAGAAAGAATCAGCAGCTGCTTAGGATGTAATCCAGAAAGATTCATTGAGAGGTTCCTGGTGGTTTTTCAGATACTGATTGGACAGAGGTAATGTCTTTGAGGAAGGCACTGCCCCTCATAAATTAGTGGCTTCTGATAACTCAGCTCTCAGAAAGGAAACAACAGCAGGAAGAATCGAGAAATAATTCCAGGTGATAGGAGATGAGTACATTTTTATTGTCTTGGAGGGGATGTGGGAAACATGTATGTAACTTCAATTGTTTTGCAGCTCTCTGAAAGCTTGTGTTCGACCACGATGCTGTCCAAGTGGGGATATCTAGAGGCAACATCCATAAGGGTTCATCTGGGAGAGATGCTGCAGCATAGGCTCCTCTAGAGCCTTCAGGATACATCCATAGTGGAGCCATTTTAGTGCTGTTTGTGCTTCATGGTTGTGTCCTGGGTAAAAACCCGGGTGAAAACCTGGGTAAGAGCATTTGGTCCACATCGTCTGATACTCCCAAAAGCCACCTACTGGCACACACAGGCTCTGAGGAACGTAGAAGAGATAACTGGAGGGTAATAGAGAGGGTTATTTCTATGGAAAAATCCTGGCTCTTTCCTTTTATTGAAGTCAGTTCATGATCATCTATATAAAAGAAAGCTGTGTTCTGAGAGCACACATGCATTTGCATATGGCTGGTGTTCTCTTGCAAACTATTTGAATAAAAATAAAAGAAAATTGAAAATAGGAGTTTTCACTCAAGGGAAAAGTTAATGAACTCACTTCTCTTTCTTTCACTCCCTGATTAAATATTATGTTACCATTTTGTCTTTGTGCACGAAGAGTAAAACCCTGCTCTGTATTTTGCCAGCTCCATTCATGAAGCTTTGCATTATTTTTACTGTACTAAAAAATTAAAAATGACTCTCACCACGTGAGAAGCAGAATGGAGAAGAGCAGTAATTCCCAGCAGTGTGGAAGAAGGAGAAAGTGAAAGATGAGACATCTTTTGTTTCTTTGAATAGGCGTGAGCTCTGCTCCAGCACACGCTGACCAGAATAGTCTGAGAAGACTGGCTGCAGAAGGCATTACCTGCCACGTAAGGTATCTGTGTGACCTTCCTCTCTGAAGAGGGTTTTTTTTTTTTTTTCTTTAACATTCGTTATTTCTGAGAGCCCATGGGCTCAGCAGCAAATTGCAGTGATGTTTTAGGTTTGGCTGCTTGAATGTTCTGATTTTCAGTTTTAGCTGCTAGGGAGGATTTCAGCAGATTAGCTAGGCTAGCTGAGCATCACCAGACTTTTCTTCTGCAGTGGTCAAGCAGCTCAGCTGAGCTGGTGTTATGTGGTGCCCAACCTACGTCCAGGTGTCAGCAGAAGCACTGGCAACATCCGAAGAAGTAAGCACAGACTCGTATGCCAGAGGATGGCTCCAGAAATGGCTTGGTGTTTTATTAACACATCAGAAGGCTATTGCTGTGGATTTGTTGGTTCTCCGGATATACAGAAATTGCTAGACGCACCTCTCTGAGGCACCATCAGAAAACTAGCTCTGTGTGAAAGCATCTTCATGGGGAAGTCTGTCAGCTGCTCAGTATGGCTTTTTTTCAAATCTTCTTGAGAATGAGCATTGTTGCTTTTAATCTACAAGTGGATGAAGGGTTTAATAGAGGCTTAATGCCTGAATGGCTTGCAGTCTTGTTCAGTCAGCTGTTGAGATGTAAGTAGGAGTAACAGGGAATCACAGAGGAGGTGTCCACATGCAAACCTTGTGAAAAAACTGTTTTGGGGGTGTTAGTGTGTGTAAATTTTTAGAAAGGGGGAATGAAAAGCAAACAAATATGAAAATGAGAGTTTTAACGCTTAGATGTCAACTCCTCCATCCAGGGATTTCATCTATGCTGCTGCTACTGGCCCATTTTGGTGCATAGTAAGAACAATTCTTCTAGCTGCCAATCAACCATTTTCTTTTCGATAATTATTCACATTGCTGTAGAAACGGAAATTATCCCTATTTTCTCACTTTCCAGTGGAAAACTGTAGTTGCAGCTGCTCCCTCCCCCCGTTTGGAAGTTTTACACACTAAGAGTCATCAGCCAGCCTTGCCTTAAATCAAATCTTCCCATGCAGCCTGGATGCAAATCTAGCAAGCACAGCAGCTGTCTACTCTTAGCAAGGAGAAAAGCAACATGTTTCTTCAGCCACTGGCTAGGGAATTCCTGCTCAAAGAAGAGGGCTACGCCTTGTCTGATGCCTTTATAAAGTCATAGGAGACAGTTTCCTGCGGGCTTTCACAGATACTGCTAATCATCTTAAACTGAAACAGGGCTTCCAAAAACAGCATGTAAATCCCCATAACACACCTTCAATTTCTGTCTCCAAGGCTACCCAGCTGCCCTGATCCTCTGTAACAGGCTCAAAATGCCATGATGCCTCCTTTTGAACTACTCCTTGCCCACTTTTCAAGCCCTCTTTGCTCCCAGACCTCCCCACGGGCAGAAGCCCCACTAGCTCTTGGTTTGCCTTGCTTGCTGGGGACAAGGATTCACAGCATCGCTGCACTGTGCTGGGTGATGAGCAGTGGGACATCTGCATGGCAGGGGATACAAGGCTCTCTGCTGTCCTGCAGCTGAGTGGAACTGATTTTCACAGGGGCACAAGAGCTGCATGGTCCTGCCCTGCCCAGTCGTGCTCACCCATCTGCACAAAGGCTGGGTCTAAAGGGCTCTTTAAAACCATGTTAATAGCATTTTTCATGCTGCTTTTACTCAACCTCCTCATTCTGCTCTAAGCCATGCAGTTCATGAATAGCAGCTATTCCTCGGTCAGGGAAGCACATTTTGGGGGACACGGTATACGTAGCCTTATTGGACATTTTTCAGTGATTTTACATGCAGATACTGCCTTCTCACAGCAAGCCAAATTCTGCCCTCTCCTGAAGTCTCTTGGGTCTAAATTAGTGAGACTTTATATATATCGTGATTTGAATCTGAATGTGCTTTCTTGCTTGCGATCCCTGTGGTCACAGAGCAGGCAAGGAGACTTTGTGCTGTAGTTTACCTTGCCATAAGCAGGCTTTCTCAGTTATCCTGGTGAGCGCATTCCCTGCGTTGCCAACGCGGGAGCACTTTCTGCAGGATGCAGGATTTGCAAAGGCATAAATGTATGGGGCAGTGTTCCAGCAGCATGTAGAATCCTCTAGCTAATGGGTCATCTCGCGTCTTCTCTGAGAAGATAGCACCTGAGGTCCCTCCCAAAACAATTCCCGGGACTCATAGGAGTGCTGGATGAGGCATTTGTGCTGCAGACACCCCCAAAGCACTGCAGAGTCAAGAGAATGATGCCAGACTAGAATCAATGAGGCCTTATGCGGGCACTCAAGAATAACAAGCCAACCAGTGGATTTGCAGGCAGACTGTAACAGCTTGTTATCTGATGTCCCCTGGGCACAAACACTGAGACATCTGCAGTTTTTGACCCGTTTTTTCCCTCTGCTGGCTCAATAGCTAGTTAGCCAGTCATCCAAAGTGGAAACAAAACAGAGGGAAGAAGAGAACGCATGCCAGTAAGCGGGAGAAGCTGGAATATCGGGACACCAAAAGGACTGGAAATAAAATAAGAACACAGGTTTCTTTGCTCTCCTTTATTATTTGTGCATCAAGCTCTCTGAGTTTGTTTCTGGAATTCTGTTGAAAGCTTGCTAGTTGTCATTGAACTTTTACATTGGTTTATTTTGCAGGTATTTTGCATCTCCAATCTCTTTGGCACTGCAAGATAAAAATGAACCTGAACAACATGCACTGGGACTACACTGTCTCTGGTCCCTATAATCTCTTCCCATCCTATCAGAGGCCTGCCCAAAGCAGGCTGCTGGGTTCTTGGAAAAGAGATCCTTGGAGCACAGCAACCATGCCAACTAACACTGTGCTTCCCTGTTTCCAGGCTCTTGTTACTAAAGAGTGTGCACAGATAGTCTGAAGGGGTCATGAACGCCAGCCCCAGCCTAATCTTCTAATTAACTCCTGTTAATGTAAGTGCACTCGAGAAGATTCTTTTAGCCACACTGCTCAAGAAATTAGAAGTCCTCTCTCAAAGAGATAGTGTGTTTCTTCTTTCGTAGTCCAGCATGACAACACCATTTTCCTGCATGAGAAGGATTTGCAAAATCCTGTGGTGCTCATTTCTCATCCCTGGATTACAGTTTATTTTAAATCAACTCAGGATGATAGGTGGCAGCTCAGTGTATGCTATCTGCAGCGTTTTAGCCTTGCATAGGCAGAAGCCTCCTGGTTTATTGGTTCTCTAATTTCCATGCCTTGGAAAAGCCTAAAGATTGGGGTGTGTGCCTTGCAATGACACGTAAGGCTCTGGGACCTACCAGAGAAACACGCTGCTGCTGCTGCTGCTGCTTCTCTTTTAACCCAATGCAGCCTCATCGCATGGATGCTCTGCTCACTGCAGTCAAGGTTAGAAAGGGACTTGAGCCTCTTTCTGATGTGGAAATAAAGTAGTCCCACAGGTAGAAACACAAAGAACAGCTGAGCTCAGACTGACCTCAGGAAAAAAACAAAGCCAGTTTTCACAATGGAGTGTAGCTGGACTGCACCGAGAGAATGAATGTGGGGCAGGATGAGAACTGTACCTGCCTGTGTTATAAGCAGAGACTCTGCAACTCTCCCGACGTCAATTTTGCCTAGGAGAATCCATCTGAAAACAAACAAATACCAACAGAAATGCTTCTATTGTTTTCTTTCTCTGTTGGTAATGAAAACTATTCCTTTTAAAAAGAGCAATATCCTCCCCTATGATTTTTGCAGTCACAACACAGAAATGGAGAAAACCTGAAAGCACAATTGACTCCTTTTGATTTTTCCTATTTTAAGAGAGAAGACATGCCAGCGGGAAAGAGAACAAAAATCACGCTGAGTAAATCTGGAATTTAAACTGCCACCAATGATCAACAGCAACTATCCAAATATTTATTTCTTCTTCTACAGTTTCTTTCTGCTTAAGCTGATCAGCAGATCTTTAATTTGATATTCAGTCATCATTACATAAAAACATGTATCTTTTAGGTTGTTTCTTTAATTATTCACTTCTGCAGGAATTCAGATGGCAAGATTCAGGGGATAATTTAGTCACGTACCGCCTTAGTATGCAGCTTCTCTTCAATAATTTGTTGACTGGTGATCTCCATTTGGTACTAGAGATCAAGTCCTCCTCGCACTGAGCTTGACAAGAAAATGTCCAGTGGTTTGAGAAGGATGTTGGTTTTATCCCTTTTGTACATGCCATGGCAGAGCTGCCACAGCATCTAATGCCAGATCTCTAATACCTAGACAGTGCTTTGAAATACGGCTCCGTGTATGGAATACAGTCACAGTTTCAAGCAAGAAGCAAGGGAGGGACTGCAACTCTGCTGCTGGGAGCATACAAGTGGGGCATGAAGCAGGGAGATGTCTCCCTTCCTGCCTAGCAGGCTGGATAAGTTTCTGCGTGTGGCTTGCTTGTGTGGCATCAGTGACATGGTGTGCAAGCTGCAGCCACTCACAGGTCTCCACAACCTGCCTGCTTCCCAGTTATCATGGCTGCAGACCACCATAAATATTTCTGCAGGCCAGCTTCTAAGGTCATGCTGCTAAACCTCCATATATATGCACTGAAGTATCATGATACATGCTTTTTTTGGTTTTTTTTTTTTTTCTCTCCTTGTGTGTTTAGTGCTTTAAAATTCCATCCAGTTCAACAAGAGCTCAGCATGTAATATAAAGCAGCTGTTTATGAGTGCTTAAGTACAGAGTTAAGAACCAAACTTTGGGCAGCCAGATTTGAAAAGTGTAGTCAGTCCTTAAATGATGCGCTGTGCTGAAAGGGGCCTACTCTAAAAATGCTCATGAAGTGTGAGGGTTTATGATGGAAAGGAACCTGTAGCAAGCAGCATGTGTGCTTCCTACTTTTCCTAGGTTTCATTATGCCTTCCTGCCTCACAGATCAGCTGTAACATTAAACCCATTGAAATTTGTAAAGTGCTTAGAGATCCACTGAAGGGAGGCAGGACAGAAGTAAAAGGTACTCAATTTTCATTGCGTTTTATCAGGCAAGAGAGTTTCCAGAATGTCTTCGTAACAAATAAGAATAAATAGCTGCAAATGTAAAATATACCCTGCGCTCACTAATAGGTATCTTTCAGGCAGTGGTTGAGAATATTTAAGAACAGTGTAGATTTGAAGACTTGAATTCATATTTCAATACATTTCTTAGGGCCATAGCTTTATGCACTTCACTAGTGCATGAATACTATCCAAATCTACTGGCATTTGAGTAATAGTGGCAAATAGTTTGTCTGATTGTTTTCTCCTGTCAAATTTCTACTAAATTTTCAAATAAATCACTCACAAATGTTTTTTTTCTTCATGACTTGGTTACCTCAATAGGCTGAATAATATTCATCAAATAAATTACTTATTTTTTTTCCCATAAATCTGCAAATAATTAATTCACAAGTACATTTTACACGAGGCAGTCAGCTCTAGCCAGGACAAATCAAGGTAATTTCCTGCTCTTTTGATCAAATGCCAGTAGGACTTTATCTTGGACAGCTCAATAGACACAGGTTTTAATGCATAATACATAATGGGTAAGCTGAGTTTTTCACAGTTCTTTGAGAGCTCTCTGCTATTGCCCGTATTTCTGTTCAGCTACCGAGAGAGGCATGACAAGGGACATATATTTTCTGTCCAGGTATGCTCAGAAGCATTTCACCAACCTGATTGTATAGCCCAGAGGCTGCCAGGCTCTCACCAGCCACAGCCGCTTGGCTGGAACGTGCCAGCAGGTTTGTAGAGCAAAGCAAAATTTAACGAGGGTTGAGGATGAGTATTGTGCCCACTCCAGCATCTCAGGCAAACCTTGAGGCAGAATGAAATCAAGAGACATGGAGTTTGGCCAGCACATGGGGATAAAGTCCCTAGCTCACAAGGAAAGAATCTTTAATGAATAGCCATGACAGAAGGTGGCACATCTACATGTAGGGGTCTCCAGGACAGTCTTTACACCGTGGCTCCCTTTCCCTGGGGATCTCATATAAGCAACTTGGAAGCAGCTGACGGTCTCTTCCTGCCCTCAGTGTATGTGTACTGCTGACAGAGCAGCTGAGCATGGCCCTATCCTCCTGCCTAGCCCTCTCTTTGTTGTGGAGAGTTTATGGCTGCCACACAACAGCCCCCAGGCTCTGGGACCACAAGATTGCTCCACTGCTTAGGACTTGCAGCCAGCAATCTGCATGGGAGCAGTGCTTCTGCAGCCCCTGCCCTGAGCAGGGTGCTGAGCCTTGTCTGGGGGGCCCTTCTTTTGCCTGAGATGCATGGGGCTCCTGAATGCTGCACGCTTTGCACCCCACACTCCCTGTGGGCACTCATCTCACCTCTGCTGCTGAGGAACAAGGCGAGGAACACAACTTGCTCATCCATGTTTGTCAGCAGGGAGGCTTTGCAAAGCTTGCTAAGTATGTGCTGGAGGGATTGTGCAAGCAGGGAGGGTTTGCAGGTGGCTTTCTTGAGGATCAGCGTGTGCTCATGTTTATGCACATATGTGTGCATATTGTTTCATATAACCCTCCAATTGTGATCCTTCCCCAAGAGTCTGCTGGCTAATCTAGTTACCCCAAAATGAGAGACGCCTTCAGCCCATGCATTATGCAGCAATCTAGGTATGAAGAAATGTACGCAAACATTCCTGCAGTGTCATCAATAAGTGAAATATATGTGGTATCTACGCAACAACAGCAATGCTAAATGCTGAAAGTCAAACTGGATGCCTTCCTGAGAAACAAACAACTGACCACATATTTACTCTGCATGTCATAAATAAACATGGGGAGAGCACAAAAACAGAGGAAGATATTTGTCTCGACTTTATGCTCGGAGAAAGCTTTCGACTCAGTCTGGCTCCCATAGCTGAACTATACAAAATGGAATTGGCAAGGGGAAAAAATGACATAATCACATACATGCAACAATCCATTTGAAAGTAGGACACACAAAAAAGGAAGAAAGCCAGCTTTGAAGGAGAAGGTAGACTGATGCTGTGGTCAGCTCCAGCCCTCTCCTTTCTGGCCTCTGCACCAGCGATTCATCAGCCTCAGAGAAATGGTTCTCAGTTTGAATGGGGAATCGCAAACATGCCAAAATTGTCACAACTTTTCAAAATATTCTTTAATACTCCATATTGCAAAGTTGTCTAGTGAGAAAGGAAGAACATCAGTGGCACGTGGCCAGACAAAGATGTATTGGAAAACAGAGGTGTGAGAAGAGGCCTGGGGATGAGCTCCACGTGCTTTCTGTGTAGTGTATCAGTTACTGACCTAATTTCATTTTTGGATATGTGAGAAGAGGAAAACCAAATAATGATGAAGAAATGATTTTTTTTCTGTGTACAGCATGTGTACAGACTACAATGATATTACATCCAGGGTCAGTGCCTGTGTGTCAACAAGCACTGGAAATATAGGAGAATCCACAAAATGCTGCAGGGGCTGGAAACCGAATCACACAATGCAAGGCTTCAAAGAAAACCTATTCAGCGTAGCAGGGAGAGGTGATAGGAGCACAGGTTTGTAGACAAAGGCGTAACCGGTTCTGACGTCTCGAAGCTGAAGTTAGAGAAATTCAACCTTGAAAGAACCAATTTTCTAGCAGCAAGAATAATTAAACACTGGAACAAATTAGTAGGTGGTGTAAGGCACTTGCCATTCCTTGGAGCCTTTAAGGCAAGATGTGCTGTCTCTCAAACAAACCTGCTTTGATCCAGCTGCTGAGAAAAGCTCTGTGGCTCATGTGTACAGGTCAGATTAAGGGGTTACAGTGGCCCCTTCTGTTTTCAGATCTGTATGGGAAGGAAAAGGCTTTCTAGTAAAGGCAAATTAAAAAAGGGAGCTGACACTTGTTGAGAACACCACATCATAGCTCAGGAGAGCAGGAATTTACCTTTTTACCAGCACCACTAATATTGCGAAGCAATAGTGAAGCAGATATCTGCATCTGCTGGTTAAAGTGAATACCGTGGGAACTTCCAAATGGGATAACCAGAAGGAAAGGCTTTCCAAGGCCACCTCTTGCAGAAATCTGCTGCTCTAGCCATTCAGCCCTGTAATGCAGGTCCTCGTCAGTAACCCCGACCCAGCAGACGAACATGGGGAGCATGGGGCAGGCACACAGGGGCTCCTGTCAGCAGGATGCTTGTGCATACAATGAGCCATGCCCATACATACATTGCTGCTGCCAGGCTGAAGGAGCGCATGGGGAGATATTTGGACTAGAGTTTGATGAAGGATCAGTAGTTCAAACTGCATGATGAAAGTAGACGGGTAAAAAGGAGAGATTTCCTCTGTTTTCTGAATTTGACACAAGGGATGCGGCTTACAGAGGGGATGTTTTTGGGTGAAGAAGTTCAGAAGAAATGTATTTGAATGGTGGCGGAGGAAAGCGATAGAAGCAGGTGGCACGAACAAGCTGGCACAGGAGCACAGTAAACACTGATGAAGGCAGCCTTGTTTGGTTTAGGCGTCCTACTGGCAGCTGCAGCCCCATTCCTAAGCTAGACTAACTCTGGTGGGACAGGGCTGTGTGTCGCACCTCACCTCACCCGAACTGGAGCTCAGGCAATTGTGGCTGGAGGGTGAAAGTTCTCTCAACTCGTCTGAGGAGGGTTCAGTCTCATTCCTATCAGGCAACACCCTCCTTACTGTAAAGCAAGACAGAATGAATGACAAAGTCCAATCTAAAACGCAGCCGGATAACCATCCCCAGGTACACACACAGCACGCACTTCCTGCTGCCGGGAACACCCAGCCCAGCTCCAAGTCCAGGTGTGCTGCCGGCCTCGGGGTGAAGCCCGCAGCGGCCATGCTGCGGTGGGGGCAGAGGGCCGAGGGGCTCAAGGCCGGATACAGACGTGTCCCACGCGGTGAAATCCGTGAGGTGGACTTGGCTCCATCACATAGGCCTGAACGGAGCCGGGGAAGCAAACGCATGCAGAGGGAGCACCCACGTTTAACACGGCGGAGGGGGCCGAAGCGGCAGTGCCCGGGAGTCGGGGTCGGGCAGCGCCATGGCGGCGCCAGCGCGGCCCCGGGCAGCCCACAGCCGCCTCCCGGCCTCTCTCGGCCACGTGCAGCGGCGCCCCTCTCCCCTGCCCCGCTGCCCGCGGGCGGACGGCTCCGGCTCTTCCCTCCCTTCTCGGCGGCGGGGGCCGGGCCGGGCCGGACCCGCACCTCCCCCGCTACCTGCGGGCGGGGGCGCGCGAGGGCGGGCGCTGGGGAAAGTTTGTCTCTGTGGTTGGCTGCGCGGCTCGGCGCGGCCGGTCGGGGCGGGCGGGCGGCTCCGAGCGCTCGCAGGGCAGCGGGAGGCGAGCGGCCGCCGGTCCCCGGGCGGAGGGAGGCGAGGAGAGCGCGTGCGGCGGCCGCCATCCGGCTGGCGAAGGGAGAGGCACCCGCCGGCATGGGGCAGCGCGGGGAGAGGGCGCCCTGCCTGCTCCCGCTCCTGCTGTTGCTGCTGCTGCTCGGTGAGCCCGGGGGCGGCGGGAGGGGACCGGGGCAGGGCTGTGCTCGGCCGCAGGTAGCGGGGAGGGCAGGGCAGGGCAGGCCCGTCGGCGCTCGGCGCGGGAAGGGGGCCGGGCGCGCCGCCGGGCTGCGCCGTTCTCCGGTGGGCGACTGCCGCCCGCGGGCGGTAGCGGCCGGAGCTGCCCGCACGCCGCGGCTGGAGAAGTTTCGGAAGGGGGGAGGCCGGGGCCGCCGGGTACGGCCCGCTGGGAGCCGGGCTCCGCCGCACAGGTGCGAAGGGCTGGGGTGGGCGAGCAGGGAGGTGCCCGGGTGAGAGCCGTGCTCGCTGCGGGGGGCTGGCGGCTGGCGGGGGGGGTGCCCTGCAGTCGAGCCCTGCGACCGCCGCCGGGGCTCGACCGCAGGGCAGCCCCCCGCCAGCGCTCCGCCGGGCTCTCGGGTCAGAGGGAGCGAACTGCGAACTGCTGACAGTGTGCCCCCGCACCCCGCCCAGCAAGGCTTTTCTTCGAGCAGAGCGGTATTTGCTGACTTAGTTGGTGCTCGTACTTTTGACATCGCGATGACTAATTCTTTGCTATAACTGCCAGAGAGCGCTCTCCCCGTGGCCGGGCTGCGGGATCCTCCGCAGGGGGAATTCCCATAACCCTGTTCAGAAACAGAAAGGGAACGGTATTTCTCGAGCGAACGGCTTGGTAGGACAGGCAGGAAATCAAGGGCTCAGGTGAAGTTCTGAAGATCGCGCAGCCAAAAGAAAGAAGATATTGAGAAAGGTGTCCCATTTTTATCCTTTTGAATTCCGGACCAAATAATCACAATAGCTTGACCAGCCGCATGCAC